TGGGATATTCTTTCTCTCTTCCTTCTTGGAAATTACAGTCTAACCAAAGAAGAGGACATTGGACAACAACCTGGCAACTCTTTGTAGCTCTTAACAAAATTGTGATTAAAGAATAGAGTTCTAGGAGGATTTAATTGAACCTAATGTAGTCTGAAAAAGCATCTCTGAAGGAGTGTTTAAGAGTAGGACCTGAAGAATGAATAGGGCCAGCTAGCTAACTGGGAGGAAGGAAGCAATATTGGTTTTGTAAGGGAAAGGGGATCGCACAAAATAAATTGTTCTGGGCTGCATTGAGATGGAGATACAAGACATCCAAGCACCAGCTTCTAGAATTTCAGTTTTAATGGACTTGGGAGCCTTTGAGTTTGAAGACTTGAAATGGACATTATAGAATCAACCCCAGGGCAACCAAGGACCCATGTACTCAATCATTGCCTCCTTCGACCCTTTGATCAAGGTCTATGTACCATGTATTTTAAGCCAAAAGGACCAGCAAAACTAGAAACAAGTTGAAATTTGCACAAAAGTGGGAATAGGAAACAGATGTCATCCGGCTTGATGCGGATGAGGTGAGAAGGGGAGAACTGAGGCATTTACCTGGATTGCTCTCCCCTTCTCACCATTAAAGATACAGCCAAGCGGTGAGAAAAGCAGATTTAAAATGGTGAGCAAATATCAAGGCAGCGTCATCCTCTCAGTAGACAGAGCACCATCCATCTGTGAGTCGGCTAGCAATGGCAGTCAGCTTCCGTGTGATTGAGAGCCCTCGTGCAGCAAGTCAGGCTCTAATCAGTCGTCCCCTCCGCCCTTCCTGTTTCAGTGCTGGCCATTGAGCTCCTTGCAGCCTGCCAGGGCATCGAGTTTCTACGCCCCCTGAGAACAACCACTCCCCTGGAGAAGGTCTATGACCTGGTGCGCTCTGTTGTAAGGTAAAGTCAAACAAGTCTCTGGAAGTGACACCATTTCAGAACTGTGAACTCTGGCAGTGTTAATGTTTGGCTGATGAGTTGATGTGCTTTTTCTGTAGGCCCTGGATAAAAGATCGCTTCATGGCCCCAGACATCGAGGCAGCACACAGGCTGCTGGTGGAGCAAAAGGCAAGCTGACTACTTGGCTTCTGTCTTAGTTTGGGGTCATTATGGGAAAGTAAAGTGGGAGAGGGAAGAGGAGCAACATGGTTTTATTCTTTTATTTTCTGGCTATTCCTTGGAAGTGAACAAAAAAGTTTCTTATGCAACTTGCAAGGCCACCAAGAAGCTATTTGATAAACTCTGAGGCCCCACGTTGCACCCAGACATTAACCATCTAAGGATTAGAAACTGGTATAAATTTTAAATGGAGTTTTGGAACAAGCATTCGTGGGGAGAAAATGAGATGAAAGGTTCATGGACGCCCTTCACCAAGAATGTACTTCCATTCAAAAACACTTTCTCTTTCTGTAACGCTATCACCATGGCCTGGCCCAGTGCCTGCATAGATGTGAAGAGAAAACCAAGTCCCAGGTTTCTGCTGCAAAGGGCTGTGGGTCTGTCTAGTGCTTTGTGTTCTGCCCATCATCCTAGGTGAGATGCAGTTCCCTTTACTGCTGGTTTCCTCTGGCTGCACTGACTATAGACTTGTCTGATAGGGACAGACACCTAGCATACTGATTTATTTTTTAAACATACTTTGTAAAGTTCTTTAGGCCTTTTTAATAATTTGTGGGTATCGTGTTCCCTAGCATTGCTTGATTTCCCCTGGAATCGCTGGTCTGCTCTTAGGGAACAATTTTTCCCTTGGATCTTCACACCTGTCTGGTTTGCCTTTTTTCATTGAATTATAACTGGCATATAACATGACATTAGTTTCAGGTGTACGACAACATGATTCGGTATTTGTACATACTGCAAAGTGATCACCACACTAAGGCTAGTTAACATCCATCACCATACACAGGTACAAATTATTTTCTCCTGTGATGAGAATTTTTAAGATCTGCTCTCTTAGCAACTTTCGAATATCTAATACAATATTATTAATGCTGTATTATTACATCCATGCTGTGCATTACATCCCCAGGACTTATTTATTTTTGAACTGGAAGTTTGTACCTTGGGACCACTTTACCCATTTTGCACACCTATCCCCCCACCTCTAGCAACCATCCATCTGTTCTCTGTATCTATGAGTCTGGTGTTATTTTATTTTTTAGATTCCACATATAAATGAGATAATGCAGTTTTTGTCTTTGTCTGATTTATTTCACCTAACATAATACCCTCAAGGTCCACCCATGTTGTCACAAATTGGCAAGATTTCCGTTTTTTAATGGCTGAATAATATTCTATTATTTTGTATTAAATATTTGTTTTTTTTCCTTTCATCCATTGTTGGGCACTTAGGTTACTTCCATGTTTTGGCTATTGTAACTAATGCAGCAATGAACATGGGGGCGCCGATATCTTTTCGAGGAGGTTAGCCTTTGAAAGAATACATTTTTTAAGGTGATACAAAAGAATAGGAAAAAGGGCCCCTTGGCTGTCTGCGGCAATCAGATAAAACACAGCTGTAAACCATATACAGGGCCTTAATTTGAGAAGATGTTATGCTTGAAAGAGAATAGTTTGGTGGATGGAGGTGAAAACTAAACAAGGGTCTGAGGCAGTGCTTCTCAAACTATAATATGCGTCTGAATTTCCTGGAGGTCTTGTTAAAATGCAGATTTGGATTCAGTGGGTTTCAGGTGGGGCTTGTCCCAGATGATACCTATGCTGCTGGTCCATGGGCCACACTTTTGAGTAGCAAGTGTCTAAGGGACAGAGCACATGTGGCAGGGTATAGAGCAAATGAGGAAATCCACTGCATTTTATCATTCAAGACTTTATTTAGAAAACACATGATCAGAACCCTGGGCAACTTTCCTTAATTCTGTCCACTCTGAATTCTTTAGGTTTTGTTTGTTTCTTGGCTTATTTTGCTTTAGAAGAGTAAGCAGCTAAAAACCTTTATGGTAACTTGAGAGAAGTTTTGGACTTTGTATTTGAAAAGCTGTGAACGCCACCAAAGACTAATTTTGTGTCACTTTTTTATAATAAAAGCCAGCAAACAGCTGTTATATATCCAGTTGGGTATAGATAATGTTTTGGCTTCCGATGAAGCTGATGTTTAATGGCATGTGAAAACAGTGCTGTCAACATTTTGACTTTGTTTTGTCCTTGTTTCTCAGGTTTGGGAAGTAGCTTCACCATACATTGAAAAATACAGACTAGAGCATATTCCAGAATCAAGACCGATTTCTCCAACGGCCTTCTCACTGGAATCTCTAAACAAGAAGTCCACCCAAATCCCAGAGTCTGGGGATCTTTAGTGGGCTTTGTCATGGAATTGCAGTTCAACAGCAAGCAGTGTCGTCCTGAAGGAGAGACCTGAGAACTTTTTTAGGTAGAGCAATTCATTACGTAATTCAGTCCTTCTAAAACCTACTTTGCTTAGGCTGGTGGCAGCATCACATTGCTAAATCTATCATTGTGTTACTGTGGACCTGGTTCGAGATGCAGTAGGTGTATTCAGGTAATATCCTATATAATATCCTATGTTTCTTTGATGATCTCAACAGGCCGTTCACTCTTAAGGATGAATGGGTCTTTTACTTTTTTCTTTTTTTGGCTTTGACAAGCTCTCCACTGATTCACTTTGGCTGATTGTACTATGTCATGATATGACTAATGTTCCTTAATAGGCCTTCATAAACAACCCTTTTTAAATCATAATTTGTCCTTCAGCTGCTCTCTCTTCTATTAATTGAGCCGTAGTAAAGAATGGTCAATAGGTCAATAAGAGGTTTTGTGTACAGGAATTAAGGAATGAATATAAAGATTGCCTTTGGAGTGGCCCTAATTGAACTGTGCATTTCGTATTTATCAAATACCACTACACATATCAAAAAAAAAAGGACTCAGATGCTTAAACTAGAGTTGGAGGTTAGTATTATCACTTCTTGCTATGTGTTAGTGCTCGATTCACATTCTTATAGTAACCCTGGTTTAGGAACCCTCCTCATTTCACAGACAAGGAATCTGATATTCAGAAGTTAACTAACCCCTCCCTGTAATGGTAACCATTAAAATGAAGCCCCCTTGACAAAGATCAGATGGGGCCCTAGGATGTAGTACCCAATCTGCCTCCTACCCAAAAGAAGATAAAGAACTTTATGCAAAGGCTTAAGTGTAATTGTGCAGATGAAGGATGGGTCAGATGACCTCATGACTTCCAAGATCTGTGACTTTGCACCCAACTGTGCAAACGTGTGCGAGGCACTCCAAGTTCAGGAGTCTGAAACTATGGCTCTAAAAACTGCTGCTGGCGAAGGAAAGGACAGACACACTTGCCAGCTTGCCCATGTGATTACAGCCTAAAACAGGTCCAATAGTGTATTTCACAATAAAGTTTCCACTCTAGATTGCAACCTGTCCACAAGAAAGATGGAGACAGAAGCGAAAACTGCTGCCTACAGCATTTCAGTGAACAAAAAAATCTGCTGAGGAACCTGTTGGCCAAAAGGTTATTCTTGACGCTGTTATTTGCTAAAATGTGAACACACACGAATGAAGTTTATTCATTCTTACCTACGAGCTGCAGTTGAGCCAGTAAATCCCACAGTCTGATGGCTGCTTTTCACTCCAGTTTGGGGAGTGCTGGATCCCACAGGCCTCTGTGGTCCTCTGGGGTGCTTTGTCACTGAGCTTTTGGATACAGCTCTCTTAGTAACTGACATCACATGCCTTCAAGGGAATGTCAAGGTAAATATGGAGTCTCAATTGTCTTAGGTTGTCACAGTATTCTTAGATTTTTATACTAAAGTTTAACACCTCCTTAGGGAAAGGCTATTCTAACTGCAGTTAACCAACTTTCTGAAAGATTTTATCAATGACTCTTCACCCATGAAAAAGTGTCTTTAGAAAATGTGATTGATTTAGTATACTTTCTCTCCCTTTCCCGTTGAGTGGCAGCAAGAGAGTTAGAGGCATTGTGATTCACCTGACTTCTTAACCTGCCACCTTGGGGCAGCCACAGGGCACGCCCAAAAGCACAGAGCATTTTCCAGCTTCTGCTGTTCCTGTCGGCCAAAGGAAGTCAAGATCAACTTGGGAAAATAGCACTCAAGGACATGCGCATATGATTTTGGGAGCTGTTACTAGAACCATCAACTGCATACGTAAAATCCCATGCATAACCTGAAAATTTTGAAAGAAGATACTTTCATACTACTTTAAACTTGTGTCTTATTTCTAGATATGGTCACTGGATTACTATCTTTTTATTAAACCTTCTAAGTATTGCATGAATAGCATGATCATTTTGCACTTGGGAGGCTACTCCTGTTGAAGGTATCTATCAAATTTAAATACTGATGATACACCAAAAAAACAAAACCCTCGACAAAAAGTGTTGGCAGAAATTCATTTCAGCTCAGGGTGTAGGCTTGGTGTGTCTCAAGGTAGTCCTGTTCTCTTTGCTTAGTGGTTAGTTCAAGAAAGGGCTGAAGTTGGGATTTGGACCAATGACATAGAGGAGAGTCTTACTGGAGGCTTCGAGAATCTGTTTTCTCTCCTGAGAGCTATGGCAGCCAGCCTTTCTCACCCACCTGCTTGACCTGAATGAGGAGGCATGGAGCACTCTTGCCTGTTGACAACCAGCCCGACCCAAGGAAGAACCTGGCCCTTGGGGTGACACCGACACTGGATGGCAGAGCAGAGGGAGGGAAGGAACCTGGGTCTTCAGCATTACTGAGCTGCTGGACAAACCAGTCCTGAAGTCTGATCATCCTGTGAAATGTCCTAGGCTAAGCCAATAAACCTCCTCATTTAGTCAGGTATTGCTACTTGTAGGTGTCAGCATTCTACCCACGACAGCTACTGTTTGTGAGGTGCTGTACCAGAGCTGTGGTGCATCCATATAGCATGTGCTCCTGTCTGCAAAGACTTTCCATCTAGTTGGGGACATGAGACGGCAATTACTTATGAAGAATGTGTCCTTGAGGAAGGCACCATAAGTGCAGTGCCTTTGGATAATCAGGGGGGGCTTCCTGAAAGAGGTGACTAACTTGTGCTTTGAATGATGGGAATCAGACAGAAAAGGGAGAAAAAGGAGAGATGTGAGCTAAACTTCAACATCAGAAGGCATTATGCCAGGAAACCAATTCTATGTGTGGTCGATTTGGATCATTAAACCAGTGGTGATCAACATGGTCCTGGTCCTTGCCCTCACAGCTTATCGCCTAGGCAGTGGGCCGGAAGATGAAACAATAACGACATATAGCCGCAAAATGGGATGCTTGAAAGTAAACAGAAGCCAGGTCATCGAGAGCATGAGAATCCGTGCTAATGGTACAGTAAAGGAAGCGAAACTCCACCAGCACTGACCTCTGAGATCTCGAGGGTGTGTGAGCAAGGACAGGTTGCTGTGGCTCAATGGTGGTTTCTACTATCTGGGTGCAGCTTCCCATTGCCTGCAGGAGCTTCAGCAGAACCAATTGGAAAACAAACATGTGCCTTCATATTTTGGAATAAATTTCCATCAGAAAAAAAAAATCTCTCCAAGAGGCTGGCATTGACTTTTTCCTTCTACTGCTGACTGTTATAGAGACCAACATGCTCATACCTTGAGGGGAAATCTGGCAAAACTTACTGTTCCTTTTAAGACAACCAGCTGTTAATATTGCCCACCTTTGTTCTACTCTGTAATGCCAGTTTTACTGCCCTAATTGGGTTGTAAATTCCCCGAAGGCAGGGCCCACCTTCAAACCAGAATTTCAGAGATGGAAGGAATCCAACATCTACAGATAAATAAAGAATTCGAGAAGAATCAAAGCCCAGGTGTCAAGGGCCAGGTTTGTGTTCCCTTCATCATACCACGTTGCCTTACCCATCTCCCTCAGCGTCTGTGGCAAGCATCCTCAACTCAATGGGGGTGACGTTGAACCCCCAAGGGGATGAAACTGGTTTGGGGGAGGCAAAAAAAAACCTTACATGTTACTATGGTTTGTGGTCTTCCAAAACTCAACCCTACCTAATAAAATCTTATTCCTTAGGAAGAAATTGAATTTTCTCCTGGAACAGTGGCCTGAAAATTTTTAAAGGTTGACATAAGAATCATTGATCTAGCCCAATGTGGAGCATAGAGTAGTGCTAACATCTCACTGTGCCGCTGCGAAAGATTTCCACCCGGACTTCTAGCACTTGATACCTCCTACTCTCCAGCAAAGAACTCGTTCAAGGTATCTGGCCAGAGTCCACTCACACAATAAATATAAACTAAAACAAGGTTATTCTTCCTACAACACTCCTGTGCTAGTCCTAACCTGTTCAAAAAAACGTCCATAGGCTTCCCTGATTTTAAAATGAAGTTCCAACTAGTGAGCCTGATGTTCAAAATCTTGTGAAAGCTGACCTAGCTCCCCAATGAACCCTCTACTCTAGAGGACTCATCACCTATCTTCCGAACACCTCATGATGTCCCATCCTGGAACCTTTCCCTCTTATCACAGTCCTTCCACCCTCCAAAGCTGAGAAGGGCAAACCCTACCTAACCTTGATACTGTATTTTTGTTTAGTTTTACTCTTACACTTTTACTCCCCCATGAGCATCATCCTTTGATATTATATCAAGGAATTCATCTGCTCTTTCCAGTCCACAAACCGACTGCATCCCGGGGTTGGCCTGCTTAGTGTATTTTGATAAGTAAGTTTTACTATGACTACCTGTATGTTTGTGCAGCCCTTCATTAATCCATTTATTCATCACCTGCTATGAGCCAGTCCCCAAACCAGATCCTGGGGATATGACGAGGTCCCCGCCCTCTATAAACTCACAATCTAAAGGTAAAGACAGTTAAGTTACAATGCTATAAAGACTATCATAGGAGTTTGGAAGAATGGTGGGGCTGGGAGTGACTAGCTCTGATTTCCCACATAGAGAAGAAAGGGAAAGTATTCCAGGCAGAGGGAACAGCGTTGCAAGGCCCGGAACAACAAAAGCTGATGGATGGTGTTTTTGAGGAACAGTGAAAGTTGGCGAGGCTGGAGTCTAGCTTTAATGGGCACCTAATCCACCTGGGCTTCGTAAGATTAAAACTCTGATTCAGCGTGACTGGGGTGAGGCCGAGGTTCTGCATTTTTAGAAAGCGCCCTTGAGTTGCAAGGGATTACAGGACATGGGCCTAAGAGGACTAAGGCACTTCCGGGTGGGTATCCTCTTCTGCTTTCCTTCAAAAAAGACATGAACGCTATTTGTTTAGAGTGAACGGCTTCTACAAGGAAAATATGGTGTGTTCTGCCTTATTCCATAGGTCTAAGGATATACGTATATACGTCTGCATGGCCTGGGTTCCGGGACAGACCTAATATTTATTTTTAGCTTTTCTATCTATCTCTTGCATTCCAAACTCCCACCATTGACAAGGTGATTGGTCACAGAGGAGGCATCACCCACAGCAACCACACACCTCCCACACCCCCTCAAGACTCCTTCCCAAGCATGTGAGGAATAGTTCCAGAGCCCCCATGCTACTAGGTTCTGACGGCCATGTGCAATGTTACCTTTAACCTCCCAACAAAGGGTGTCTTGATTTGATTTCTACTGAATACAGTAAAGTCTCATTGATTCAGAGTCTATTAATCTGAAATGGGTGATCATTTGGATAGTTAATGTTTATTTCTCAAATCATTTCTTCATAAATATGACAAAGTTTGATAATACAGTTGTAGTTATAAAGATGATGAAAACATTTTAAAAGAGTTCAAGTAAATTCATGTGGCTTGAGCAACACCTACTGATATATATAAATAATCATCCACTCTTTTCAAGTAATTCTGTAATTTGTTTATTTCCTAAGTGGCTCTAATATGAGCCTCGTAGACAAGGCCGCTGACCTACTTCCAGGGCTGTAAGGAGACACCAACAATATAGTAACAGCAAATATTTATCAGAAGTTATAAAATGTTTTCTATACCTTTGTAATGTGAAGACTCAAAAACTTAAAAACCATTTTTTAAAATTATATTATTGTATTTGGACAAAATGCACCCATTACAGGGAGGCCTTTGTACCCGTGTATAAAATGACAGGTCTTGAACTCTGCTGTGAAGGCTATTTTGAGCTGGGATTGAGGGGAAATTAGAAATGGATGAACATCCTCCTTCAGAGGACACTAATGCATTTGAAGAGCATCTAGAAATACACACTGTGGGGAAAGAAAAAGCTATTTGCTTATTATAGAAGGCTACAATTTAACTTAATTTGGAGTATATCACTTGGTTTTCCCTCCCTCCCCCAATTTTCAATAAACGTAGTTTGAGCACAAAAATTTGAAAAGCAGAAACAAAATGGGGATTTCAAGCCACATCTACCTAATTGCCAATCTGCTTTTCCCCACAGGGGCATTTCTGTGATATTCCATTAAATTAATCTTCAGAATATTTGTGACAAATCTTTGTGAAATAATTTAATGTTTTGAGATTATCATCACAGTTGGTTTACCTGTTTGTATGTCCAGATGCACATTAAATTAAAATAAATCAATCCCTTGGGTTTTATAAGTGGATTAACAAAACACTGAAATACATTTAGGTTTAAGTGACATCATTCTGGTAAATGACTGAAGTATTTTAACTTTTAATATAATTGTGTTGGCTTATTTTATATAATCGAAGAATCTTTTCTTTCAGATCTATCATTTTTTATAGATGACTTTTCCTTTAGCTATAACATATTCGATTAATTCATGATGGCCTCCAAATTGGTAAATCAAATGCTCCCATCTAGAAAAAAAATCAAACATTACTTCAATGCCTATAAGTCAAAATTATCACTGTCATTAGATGCTAGTTTAAAAATACATTCTCTAAAAATTTCTTTACACTTAATCATTGATATTGGGCTTTTTTTTTAATAAAAAAATGGCATAGCACTAGTTAGTCTATGATAATGTTAATGATATTAAGTATTTGTTCTTAAAATATTTGATTCAGTTAAATGATGCACAAATGATAATATCAGCATTATGATAATATCAGCATTATTTTCAACAGAGGGAGTGGTTTATGATTATAGAGAATAGAATTATAGAGCCACTCCTTTCTGTAGAACTGAGGTCCAAGAGCTGTGATAGGCTTATTGGGTCAAGGATTCAAGATTTAGAACAATAAGACTCAAATTGTCACAACGGAGGCCTAGGTGGCAGCAGACTGTGCGTGAGTAATAAGAAACCAGGGCAGGAAGCCCAAAGTAAGGATTTGGGGATTCAGTAGGAATGAGAAGTCAGAGCAGTAATGAATCAGAACCAGGGTGACAAAACAGAGTTGAATCATGCGTGGCCCAGCGTGAGCACAAGGTCAGAAGCCAAGCAGAAAAACAAAGACCCATGCCAGAGGGTACCAAAAGTCCAAAATCCAGCGTGGAAGCCTGGAGCTCTATAAAAGATGTAAGACAAATGGAGAGACCAGAAAGCTTAGTCTACCCTGTAATTAGGGACCTATA